GAGAGAAGAGCGAATGGGAAATGATATAAAATAGCTTGGTATAAATCTGACTAGATTATGAAATGAATTAAGATACAGATTATCTTCTTTGGAATTAAAATAAAGAGGGTGACATTATGTCAAGGCGGCAGAATTTATTAGAGCTAACAATAATTTTTTAACCAATAAGAAGGCATAAAAGTCATGCGTCCGTAAGAGTCATGCGTCCCTAGTAAAACAGTCATGCGTCCCTATCAATTGCCTTAATTTGGGGTAAATAGCGTGTGACCACATCGACGCCGGAATCAACGGATAAGCACATTCAAGTCGATACAACCACGTGATGGGCGTGATATGATGCTGGCAAGACTCATATGAGGGGTAGCTTCAAGACCTGAGATTCATGAACTTGCTGCTACTCTTCATTCACCATCAATAGTCAAAATGGATATCTTCGCGACTCTTCCGCCAGAGCTAATCGCTCCAATCCTCAGCAATTTACCCGATCTTAGAAGTCTGTATAGTATCATCAAAGCATCACCATACGTCTTCCATTTTCTGAACGGGTCAATGGGCGCTGAGGTTCTCGATGATGTCCTTGCATTATCAGCTCAGAACCTCACATCGACACCTTGGGTACCACACATCTTGCGCTTAGTAGCTCTCGTCAGGCATTGTTCTATGATAAATCAGCCAGCGGATGATCTTACCTCGTTGATCGTCCAATTCATCATGCCGACTACATTCCAGAACGCTCAAGGCGAGCGCGTCCCAGATCTTCGGTCTTGTCCACCAGATTGTATCCCACATATTCGTCTCCGTCATGTTATGGAAGGTCCCCGAGCATTTACGCCACGTGAGATGCTATTACTCATCCGAAAGACCAATTTACTTTCGGAGGAGTGTTTTGAATTCTTCCACCAGCGCATCAAGGCTACTGAGCCGCAACACCTCACTGATAAATGCTACCATCTCGGAACGCTGCCGTGGAACCGACGGCCAGACGGCCAGATGTGGGGTCCGTCATACACCATTGATGCTGGAGGCAAAGCGTCATGGTATGAGATGCAACGAATCACCCTAGGCTTCTGGTGTCTCCAACTGTGTTACGAGCTGAGCAATGCGGCTTCTGAGAAACGGCTTGACTGGTCGGCATCTGATGTCGAGGCAATTCGTGATATGGGATCTGGAGAAACGTGCTTATCAGGCCTCAAAAAATCCAGCCTATGGATTGCCCGGGAGCCATTGTGGGCTGCGCTGCTCTATGTTCGACATTTGAAAGAGTCTTCAGATGAAAGTACTTGTGTGGGAGATACTGATGATGTGAACAAGGGGTTGAGCGTTTTCTTTAATACTGGGTTCAAGCCGCTGAGAGGCAAACACTTACAACTACCGCCGCCAAAGTATGAAGATGCAAGGTTCGAGTGGCCAGTGGTCGTACCGCATCCTCCCCCCTTACTTTGCATCGATCAGAAAGATGCCTTCACCTATCATTGTCACAAGGTACTTGTGGGATGCAAGGGTCTGTGTTGGGCTGGGTCGCTATTGTGTCCCAGAGGAACTCCTCGATTGAGCGAAGGACTGTTATTCCGGCCGTTCAGACGTTTAGGTTTCGGAATTTGGGATGATGGACGGTTGATCACGATGGAGATGCTTGACGACCCACAGAATAAGAGACCGCGGAGGTTCCATGTTTGGTGCCAGGATCAAGTCTTTACCTGGACCAGTCTTTTGAGTCGTGAAGAGAAGGAAGAGTTGCGAGTGTATCAAGAGGCGCTGCAATTGAGGGAGGAACACGAGTTTGGGGAGTTGATTGTCACGGGTACCTAGTTGACATCCTGGGATCGGGCCATTGTAGTATATGAATATTGTCTGAGACAAAGAACGTTTGTGGGAGTGTTTTTCGTTTTTGTTATTAATGTCGACGAGAGCGTCAGGTGAGTTGCAATAACATCCGCACGCCCAGGGTATTAATAAACTTATCGAACAATTACCTAGGATTTTATGTCACGTTGTGTATTTTACATAATGGGGCGTGCGATCGTTATAGCAGTGATACTCCAGTCGGACCCCAGTATAAAGATGTATATGGGACTTAGAGCGGGGAAGCAACTCAACCAAGAACATACACACATCCAATGAGACACATCGGAGAATCAGGGCTTGTGAAAGATCCAATTCAATGTATGCTGACGATTTCCGCAGTCTAGACTCCCTAGTGCCATCGGGTTCACTGAAGCCGCTGTACCCAGCCACCTCACTGTGATGAGTGCCCAGCCCCATCGCCGTTGGTCCCCTAAGTAGCCTCATTTAGAATGAGTCGCGCGTTTTATCCCGGTATCCTAAGAAAGTTCACACGAAATATCAGAATGGATAAGGCCATATCTGTTTGTCATCCCTCAGTGTCGCCATTATTTGCCGGGCAGGAGGGCTCGACAGACTGCTACGCACATGCAAATCGGCAAGCTGATAGGACAACCTCATCATCTATTAAAAATTATTTACAGATTGTGGATGTGAGCGCTGCTTGAGCGTTCTGAGGACACCCCCGTCACGGTGTACGGCCTCTATCAACGCCTCTTTTCCAAGCAACTTTCGTCGTCGATACGCGTAGCGCGAACCTTGCAGCGGCCACATCGTAAAGATGATGCATTATCCGTATAGCCCGGCAGCACTACAAGAAACATCGTTAGCGTGAGCCTCAATGCTGCATGCTATGCACTACTTGGTGGTGTGGCTGGGTTGCGATTGGGCCCTTTGATTTCGGTGATGCTGTTCGCTCTCGCTAGGTACGATTTCCGGACTCAGCTGTCCACTTTCTTAAAACTAGAAAATCTAATTTCGGACCGCTATCTGACTCCGCATCTGACGAAGGTTGAATATCGGGCTTTTTTTTTTTGGGGGGGGGGGGGGGGGGGGGATTTTTTTGAAACCAAAAATATTCACAACTCATAATCGCACTCCCCAGCCTGTCGAAATACATGGTTCCGTAGTATGAAATTCGCCTCGCCTTCTTCATTATCCTCGTCAAAAAAGGTGTGCTCAATCAACCCAGCATTTAGTGAAACACTGCGATAAGATGAGTTGTCGTTATAAAGCCCATATTTACATTGTAATTTGTGGGGGAAAAACCTGACACTCTGACTAACTATCATTTTGCTACGGATCATTCATTCTCCACTTTAATTGCTGGGATTATTCGCATACCCGAGGCTTTGCATACGCCATGGACGGAACCTACGCAAATTCAACGAAGGCAAACGGGTCCGATTCCGGACCATCGATTTCGTCCATGCTGGGCGTGATTGCTGCGGTCGTACTGGCCGTGGTGGCCCTAATGGCCCTTGGCCCGTCAGTGTTTTCTCCCCCCTAGCTGCCTGTGCCTCTACACTGACGATCAAGATGCATATTAAATCGGAGAAGACAACACCCAGGAGCACAGGTGGATATTGAGAGTCGGGAAGACGCCCCAAACGGTACAATTGGTCTCCAAACTCTCGACTCCACAAGTCCAACCCAAAACTACAAATTTCCCCAGGCGTCCAAATCGCGGTCATCCTTGGCTTCGCACACATCCAATTCGTTAGAACTCTGGTACGTTCTTGATTTTTTCTTTTTTCACTTTTAACTGCCAACTACTTAAATTACTTAGTGCGATATGTCTCGAAATCTTTGACGGTTTGGATACCGTTCGACGATTGAAATGCGAGCATGTCTATCACAGACAATGCATTGACACTTGGTTTCAACGGCAGCATTTCAATTGTCCATTGTGTAAATCAGTATATGTGACACGGCCGGACCGGAGTCTGGAAGTTCAACGAGCTGAAGTTAACGAGAGGCGTGACCCTGAGGTTGCGGGTTCCGAGCTCCAACATGCTGGTAGGCTATTCAGGCCAGTTCATGTACTGGTGCCAGTTTGAATTTGGACCTATCCTATATACGATACAGCCGTATGGCATTTTATATGACCTTCTGGGCCCTACCGCGTTAAATATATCACTTATGGCTGATATTGGCATTTGATCACAGAAAAAGTGGCAAGTATCAATGCATAACATGCAGACAAGCGAATGTTGCATCTCCAAATCTCATACAAAACGGCGTTTTCGGCCCCCTTGCAAAAGCCATCAACTTTTATTAAAACTTAACAAGATATTGCGTGTACAGTATTGAGCGCTTGCACAGTACCCAATCAGCTGGGGCGAGTCAGACGAGCTGCCATACGGATGTGCCGATTCTAGGGGCGCGCAGCAAGTGCGAACAGGCCCATGGGAAAGGGTATCAGTACGGGAGCGGAAGTGGCATTTCGACGGATCAAAGTTACCAGTGCGGCGACAGCGTCAGAAACCATCGAGTTCCTGCTGGGTACTGATCCAAAGAAACATCCTCTGGCGCGGATTGCGGTTTCGATAATTAAAGGACTTGTTACCAATGGCATTACGAATGGCGAATAAGGGTCAGGAATGGCACACCCAACGCACTATTTGTTTATTTAATAATATTACCACTGTCATTGAACTTGGAAGACCAGGGCTGAGAGGATGATGGTCATGTTCTGGATGTGTACAGTACATGGAGGGAAGCTGCGAGACACCACCCGCTTCCCGCGCAGCAAGGGTGGCGCTCTTAGCGGCATCAGCCTTCGATCATGGGCGCAGAAACAGGCTTTTCCTTACTTGTCTCGTCATCGAGCCTCGCGACTCTTTATGGCGCACGCATCCGACTAGACGGGCACCAATTAGAAAGCGAAAGGCTAAGAGACAGAGGGTCCAGACTAAACCTTACTAGATCCCTGTCTGAAGTGAATGCACCGTTTCCCGTAATAGGTTACGAATACGTGGTTGAGGGTCAAAGGCCCGACATGCTTCACAAGCGGAAGATGCCGAATAACGACGACAGAGGGAAAAGTAGTCTAGACGGAGAGAAGGTCAGATTGCTAAGAGACAAAACCAAGCCAACGCTCCGCCATACCTACCCGAGTCTCCGTCTCTTGGACGGCGAGACTGCACAATGCGCCCAATCGCAATAGCCTCATGTCCGTCCAATCCGCCGAGTTCGCTGTTGCCCCCCTCGCCCCCAGGTCCGTAGCCTCTGGAGGCGGCGTCACCTGTTTTATCCTCCTCGCCGAGCATGATGTTTTTCTCTCAGGGTTTGACCACGATCGTGATGGCCATCGCGAGGGCCAGAGTGGCACCGCATTGCTGCGAGGTATCCTCCAGTTATCTATCAGCAAGAACATCAAGATCAAGGCGGTACAGCTTAAGTTGTTGGGTCGCGCCCGCACGGAATGGCCAGAGGGAATGAAACTGGGTTACTACGAAGAGAAGGTCCTTCAAACACAGGTATTGACCTTTTTCAATGCCATGAACAATGAGTGGAAGTACGATTATGGAAACCAGTGCAAATTCCGATTGAAGAGCAGATCGCCCAACGACAATGATCTTGTGGATGAACTGAACCCACCGAAGTCATTCTCGCCGCATTATCACAGCAACAATAGCACCGAAGAAGTAAAACGATTATCTCCTGAAAGTATTCAAGTGCGAAGCCTCAACAAGGACAACCCGATTGCGACAGCAACGCAAGTGAAACGGTACAAGGTTTTCTATCCAGGCACATACGACTACTTTTTCGAGCTTCCGATCGATCACCGCCAACTCGAGACCACGAAGGTGCAATATGGCTTTGTGAAGTGGGAGCTGCATGCGGCTGTCGATCGCGATGGCATATTCAACCCTAACCTGCACGGCGTGAAGGAGGTTTCAATCGTGAGAGTGCCCGACCCATTGTCTCTGGAGATGACGGAGTCTATGTTAATTAGCCGGCAATGGCAAGATCAGCTATATTACGATATAATTATCCCCGGGAAGGGCTTCCCCGTCGGTAGTAAGATCCCAATCACCTTCCAGTTGACGCCTCTGGCCAATGTCCAGGTGTACGGGCTCAAGGTATTTGTGATCGAGTCGATAGAATACTGGTCGAATGACAGGACGGCTACCAGGAAGGCCTCAAGTCGTAAAATCCTGCTTTTTAGCAAGGTGGCTGGGAAAACTTTGGCTCCATCATGGGCGTCTTCGGATCTGAGGACTATCCGAGGTGGTGAACTCACTCCCGAACAGCGGCGCGAGGCCCGTGAAGCGGCCGCTAGACAACGAACTGCGGAGGCGTCGAGACAAAACACCGCGGTTCAGCCCTTACCAGAGCCGAGTGCTAACCTCTTGGGAGACTTGGACTTGGGATTAGAGAATTTTTGGGGCCCGACCGAAATTGAAGTCGACGTGCAGATCCCGACTTGCGGGATGATGGCTAGGAAGGAAAACTTGAAGCTGTATCCCGAGTGTACTTGGAGGAATGTCAATATCCGCCACTGGATTAAGGTGAGTTTATACCATGCTTCCAGTTAACCGCAGACTGATGTTGACGAAATAGGTCGTACTGCCAACGAGTCGTCTCGATCCCGTTGATCCAACTGGAACAGAGCGCCGGAATTTCGAGATCAGCATTAACTTGCCGTTTACTTTACTACACTGCCGAGCCACTCCCGTGAACATTAATCTTCCCACCTACTCCGACGAGATCTGCCAGTCTACTACCTGCCAATCAACCTGTGGATGTCCCGATGCCTTGAATATTCCAACCGAAAGCTCGACCGACTACTGCATCGGAACACTGGCCGGTGTCAACCTAACTAGCGGGGACAGCTCCTCCCCGCGTCGGGCTGCACACCTTGCCAGTGGTCAACAAAGCCCACGCTCCTCCGCTGAGATGGCCGTCATCCACGACTCTCAGCGGCCGATCCATCTATTCGCAGGCCCCAGCCTCAACCTACTTACCTTCGACAACAATATCGCACAACCACCACCCCCGAACTCATCGACGAAATACTCGAAACAAGCGTCATGATACCCCCATCGCACTACATCGTCGTCTTCGATGGCCCTAGCGTCGATGGCCTCGTAAATTCCTCTTCCCGTTTAGCAGATTTACGGTTTTGACGGCCCAGACAAAGCCTAGCTCAGACTCGGACAAGGTAACCCTCAGAATCCTCGAGGCAACTTGGCGGGTCAGCCTCTCGCGTACTAGAATATCGGACTGGGATATGCCCAGCAGGAGCCCGGAGACTTTAGACTATGGATTTGGCTCTGAATACACTGCGCCTCTAGGTAAGCTACAATTTAATTGGCCTGATTACCCTATCATAACCCCTTGAAGGGCTATGGTGACCAAAGGCACCTTCCTTTGTCATCACACTTTCTTGGCATACAATTGTTAAGAAAGTGGCCCTGTTTACACGCAAATCCTTAACAAGTGCACAACAAACGCCTCAATTTGCGCTTTGCGCAGCCGCAAGCCGCGGCGATGGCTTCGTCTACGACGAACCCGCCCGCTGCTCCGGACCCCTTCGATTTAGGGATCCACACTCCCGCCAATCTGAACCGAGGAGCCCGTGCAACCCTCTTACAGAACAGCCCTGCGGCCGTGAACGGCACCATTGGTGTTTCACCCGGTCCCAGGCGGATGGCTCAGACACCATCCTCACCACTCAATGCCGTTACCATTGCTGCAGCTACGGAAGGAGCTATGCGCGCCAGCCCCTCATCGACTTTTGAACAGCAACCAGTCTCTATCATCGAATCAGCCAATGATCTTGCGCGCGAACGCGTAGAGGAGTACAATGCCAAACTTATGGTATTCCAGGCCTTCTGCGCCAAGTTCGAAGAAGCCGCACAACAATTCACCACCGGACCGCATCGACGTTTCGCTCAACAGTTTGCCGACAGCTTCCTCGACTCCTGGAAACGAGAGCTCTCCAGTGCCGGACCTACTATCCCCAAGCCTACCTACAGCAGCGTAGCCGCTGCCTCGCCTCCCACTGACCGTGGCCGTCTAACCCACAGACAACAACAACAACATGGACGCCGCCAAACAGATCCACCTCATCGCCAAGGGCAACCAAGGACCATCGCCCCACCCCGACAAGACCTCCGCGTCTTCATCCGTCTAGAAGCCGGGGCTCCGGCCAGAGCCCACAGTAGCTATGCAATCCGAACCCTGATTCAGGAAAAAGTTGGAGCTGTCTCGGACAAGATTCGACAGGTTTTCCAGGTCAGATCGGGATGGGCCGTCCTGACTGCCGACTCTGAGACACGTGACTTTCTCGTAGAGAAGCAGGCCGAGTGGGCGGCTGAACTGGGAGCTACGACAGTAGAAACGAACAAGGAATGGTTCACCTATGTAGTCTTAGACTTCCCCACAAGACTGACGGACTTTCACGGTAAAGAGGTGGATAGTGACAGCATCGTCAGCGACGAGATAGAAATCCAGACGGGGCTTAAGCCTGTTGATATATGTCCTTCGCGATAATTCTCGGATAGCCCCTTGACCAAGACCCTACTTGTATCTTTTCTGAAGCCCACAAAGAGATTCTGGTCGCTCTTTGGCAGCAGCGCGGCGAGACTGATTGACAAAACCGACCGACCTAGACAATGTGAGACGTGTTGGGGCTACCACTTTGCCCGCAACTGTCATAGACAGCCAGTTTGCCAACGTTGTGGTAAGACTGGCCACATTATAGACAACTGCACTGCACCAGAACAGTGCATCAACTGCTTAGGCCCTCACCAAGCCAACTTTCATAAGTGCCCAGCTCGGCCGAAGAGAGTGCACGGCGTGCTCCGCCGACTTACCAAAGAGCAACGAGGACATGTCCGCACCGTTGGCGCAGAGGTATACCGACAACGACACCTAGCACAACAACCAGAGTCGCATCTGGAAGCCCAACAAAGCGACGACATCGCATCGCACGAACAGCCGAGCATTCGTGGTCCAAGTCCAGCGGCATCAGGAGCACCCTCGTGCATCATGGTGGCCACAAGCCCTCAGGCGGGCTACGAAGCGGAGGAGGAGCCCGAGCATCCCCGACCAGGCTCACCGCGAAAACGGCGCATAGTTCTTATCACTCGTCCTCTTGACCAGGAATAGATACTCGCAGACACGAAAGAACAACAAGAAGCCGCTCAGGATCTTTCAGGCCAACGTCGGCAAGATCCCCCCGGCCCACGACTGCGCCTTGGCGCTGGCCGACTCGGAACGATACGACATCGCCCTTTTACAGGAGCCGTGGACTGCTCACACAGACACTCGCTCCCTGACTAAAACCCATCCCGCATACGACACGTTCACACCTGTCGAGACATGGGACGGCAACGACACTCGACCTAGAGTCATGACATATGTCCGACGAGACCCAAGGCTCCTGGCTGATCAGATCCGGCCGTTTCAGACTCGGGATATTCTATGGCTTACAATCAACGGCATGACGATAGTTAACTTCTATCGTCAAAACGACGAGAGTGATGCCCTGAACATACTGATACGATGGCCTGTTCCGGAACGCTGCCTTATCGCCGGTGACTTTAACGCCAGACATCATACTTGGCAGACGGGACAAGCGACGAACCGTGGCCAAGAGATTGCAGACTGGGCATCAGAAAATGATCTCGACCTACTTAACACTCCAGATATTCCAACAAACCCACACGGCAACACGATCGATCTTGCCTTTACTAATATGCCACTTGCTGAAGCTACCGTCGAAGATCACCTTGCCACTAGCTCTGACCACTTCACACTCAGCCTTACCCTTCCCGATGCGGGACTAGCCCCAATGCAACCAGGCCGGGTTCGGGTGACAACAGATGACGAGCTCAAACGATTCGCTGAGATCGTAGAGCTTGGAGCCGCTGGACTCCCCACGGCTGATTCGACCCCATCCGAGCTTGATGAGCTTGCCTCTGCACTCGTGAATCTCCTAACATCGGCAGCGAAGGCAGCTGGCCGGCCCAAACGGAAGGGTGCACGAACTGCTCCCTGGTGGACCGAAGAATGCGCCGGCGCCGCAGCTGCATTTCGTGCAATCAGAAGACTCTACCCCCTTGGCTTCAACAAGGAAGTCCAAATCGCCAAACGAGACTTCCATCGCGTAGTCCGCCGAGCCAAAAGGCTCTACTGGCGGAATCTCATCGACACCTTCTCCGACAGTAGCTCTGTTTTCAAAGCCGTTCGGTGGCTGAAGTCCCCAGGGCCCTTCCAGCCGCCACCACTGCAGGTTGACGATGTCGTCTACGAATCTCAGATAGACAAGGCTAACGCACTCCGCCGAGCCACGCTGGAACGACGAACTGCAGACGACGACATCCAGGACCCTTGGATGCTCGTCTCTCCTCTTAGACTGGTCCCGTTTCCAATCGAAATCTCCCTAGACGAGGCACAGTATGCAACCCTCCATACAGGCAACACATCTCCTGGATCAGACAACATCACCGTTAATCTCCTTAAATCCGTATGGCATATCATCGGGACGCACGTCCGCCGCTTATTCGAGAGATGCCTCTCTGCAGGCCACCACCCGAAACCATTTAGGGAGGCGGAAGTGGTCATGATCGCCAAACCCGGACGCCGAGATCTCACGTCGCCACGGGCTTGGCGACCTATCTCTCTGCTCTCCTGCCTCGGCAAGGGTCTAGAACGGCTGATCGCACGCCGTCTAGCATGGGCAGCTATTCACTACAGCGTCCTTCACCCACAACAAGCTGGGGCTCTCCCCAAAAGGTCGGCAACAGACCTAGTGACCGCCCTGATCCATGATATCGAAGAGGCGTTTGCCCGCAAGAAGGTAGCCACTCTGGTCACGATGGATATCCAAGGCGCATTCGACACCGTCATGCGAAACAGGCTGGTTCTGCGTCTACGTGAACAAGGATGGCCCGATCATCTGGCTAGATGGGCTGGGTCCTTTATGAGTGGCCGATCGGCCCGTGTCAGATATCAAGATACCCTCACATCCTCCTCTCCTCTTGAGTGCGGCCTCCCTCAGGGGTCGCCTGTATCGCCGATTCTTTTCCTGCTCTATACAGAGCCTATCTACCGATTGGGCAACCCCCAAGGCCGCTTTGGTTATGCCGACGACACAGCCATCCTGTCCATAGGCGACACAGTAGACGAAACTACGGCTATGGCTTCCGGGGCCATAGACGAGATGGTGCGCTGGGGAGCGACAAACGGCGTCTCCTTCGACTCGAAGAAGACTGAAGTCATGCACTTCTCTCGTAGCAAACTCAGGACCGCTCCACCGGTACGTCACGGAGATATCGAGAAACATCCCGAGCCAGCCCTACGCTGGCTGGGCATCTGGCTTGACAGCAGGCTATCGTTCCGAATCCATGTTGAAAAGTGGGCGACGAAAGCCCAAGCTGTGGCCTACCACTTGCGAGGACTTACCAACACGAAACACGGTCCGCAGCCGGCTGCCGTACGAAGTGCCGTCAGGGCATGTGTCGAGCCAGTGCTACTATATGGCGCCGAGGCCTGGTACCCGGGCACAACCAGGCCGCAATGGAGTCAGCCTACCAAAGACTTACCGTCAAGCAACCAGCATCTCATACAGCGAATGACCAAAGCCATGAACCAGTCTATGAGAGCTATACTTCCCGTCTGGAAGACAACACCTATTGCTGCTCTCCACCGAGAAAGTGGGATACCGCCAGTCGCGCAACTCCTTGAAGCACGACGACTCCGATTCTCTACACGGCTCAAATCGCTTGATGAGGCTCACCCTCTGGCGAGTCGAACGCGTCCGCCCAGCCAACCTGCTTACCACGACCTCATCAAACGAAGATATCAAGTACAGACGGAAAGCAGCTTCCGAACACGTCTTCGACGCACAGATGAGCTCCTTGCGCCGTGCGCGCGACCGAAGCTCATCCAGCAACGCTTCAACCAAGAACAAATGCCACCACTGCAGACAGCATCGAAGAAGGAAACGGCCGACACTTTCCTCCATTGGGTGCAGTCACTCGACCCGCTAACCCTAGTCGTATACTCAGATGGCTCTCTGTCCTCTC